TGGAAAAGATAGGTGCTCAAAACATTTAGAGAGTAGATTTTCTATAAAGACTCATTGGTACTGAAAGAGAAAATGAGACCAATTTAAGCACATTTAATATATTAAAAAAATATTCCAACTGTCTAAAATTCCCCCCAGGAAAGGATGCTACTCTTCTATGTAAAATCATGCTCATTTTCTCAGCTTTCTAAATATGTACTAGGTTGAATCTGCTATAATCATTTTATATAACACCTCTGGCCAATTACCAGTGGAAGGTGACCATTATATTTTGTGACTCAGAAAGCTATGTGCCTCGTGTTAATAATTACTCTTTATAAAAATAATTTTTAGCGAATGGATACGTTTTGCTTTTATGATCAATGAAGCTCGACACATGCCTGGGAGTGAAAATGTATTAGATAGAAAGACAATTAATGATGACTTGAAGCAGCAATTTCAGAACCTCAGCAGGAGGCTGTAGTATCTAAACTGTATTCTAGGAAAGGAGGGAATGGAATCTTTTATATTCTTTTCATGGTCAGAGTAGCCTGTCTGAATAAACAGAGCAATTTTTTCCTTCCTTTCTTCCTTTTCCTCTCCTTTCCTTTACATAATTTATACTGTTCTTTAAAAAACAGATAAGCTAAAATAGAATCCGGCCTTGAGAAGCCACCAGCATTTTCTGGGGAACCGCCGCTAGAGTAAGGGGACAGAAGTCCCTGGTTCTGATTTTGGCTGAGCAAATGGTGTTCTTGATAACACCAAGTACATCCTTTTGACGCCTTGCATCTCAGGTCCTAATCTGGCAAGTGAGGAGACTGTAAGTGATTCCTAGTGATGTTTTCCCTTTAAAATTCAATGTTTGTAAGTTCTAGCCACGCTCAGAAAACACTAATGGTTGCCTTGTAACTTCTTGCCAAGAAGAAGCCTCTGAAAATGCCCTAGGAACGAATGAACAGGGCATACCTGGTGGAGCCACCATCCGCTGCCATTTCTGGAACAAGCAGGTCTTCAGACAGTCTCGTGGGCTGAGGTTGTAAGTTTTATGTCTCGACATCAGCTCCTGCATCGGCTCCAGTATTACACACAACTGTGAGGAGTTCAAAGACGTTGGATTTTCACTACTAGGTAGTAGTATTTGCAATAAGTAATGCTGCCAGCAAGAATGCATCAGATTGCTTCAGAAGGTATTTTCCTTTGGTTTGGATTTTCTTTATACAAGTTTGGTTAAAAGAAATATTAGTAACACTTGATTTGCTTCCTTAATTTGCTATCATTTATAACATATTATAATTTAGTGTGATTTACACACATATGGACTGACAGACATATTCTGTACAAACTAGTGGGTGGATATATGTGACTGGGCTGAATTCTAATAATTCTGGGTCAAGGAAAGAACGCCCTTCCATGGTACCGCATGCTGTGACTTCGCTGTTTTCCGCTGTTGTCCCTGTTTATAGGACCACACGTGGTGAGTTACAATTCTAGTTTATGTAGGTTCACGGCAGCGAAAGCCACCTTTGGAACTTTTGGTGAACAAGTTGCCAGCTGCAGGTACTTTTTTGACCCTAACTTGAGAAAAGCCGTGGTGCAAACTATTTTTTTTTATTCACATACTCATTTGTATTTTCCACGTGATGGAGTATCAGCAGCATAGGCTGACATTTGCTCAGTGTAGGAACTTCTGTGATTTTACACTCAGTTGCCTCGTTCCTTCCTTTAGTGAGATTTTTCAACTTTACTTGTGCTGATGACATTGTTGACAAAGATAAATGACTATAGAAAGCAGGTGAATCCATTTAGGATCACCATGGACTTGTCCAAATTCCTTCTCTGCTGGGAACTCATCAGACTATCATTGCATTGAGAGCGCTATATCCAGGAGGACAAAGACCCCAATGTGGAATGATACATCGATTGTCGTTGCAATCACAGAGAAACGAGTAGCCACATGCACCTTCTTTCCCGCATCGTAATCATCATTTGCCTGTGAAGATGGGTGTGCTGTCTCCAACTCCATCACGCCCTCTCTCTCGCTTCCCCAGCCCTGACATCTCACCTGGATCCTTTCCCTGAGGACACATCACTTTTCCCACTGGGTTCCTTCCACCTGGAATTCTTCCCTCCCCTGTTTCTGCTTAGAGGCCCAGTCATCCTTGACACAAGATTACTCGTGTTCCTCCTTCCTCCCAGCACCACCATGCACCTCTGTACAGGCAGAGTTGAGTGTCTCCAGAATTCTCCCATAGTGCACATTCTTTCTACTCTATGAACTTACTCATGTATGCTTCATAACCGCCTGCTTCCAGGTTTGCCTTTTGTACTTGACCTTGAACTCTTTGAATGCCAAGACTGTGTTTTATCTCTGTGTCACCAGGTTTGGTTCAAAGTAATGGAAACATTTAAGCGGTGGGTATTAAAAGGACCACAGACTCACTCCATGCCAACGTTCCCCTAAGTGTGGTGTAAGGAACATTTTCATCAGATGAAATCAGCTGACGATTAAAAATCATTCCCCCCAGGTTCACCCCGCCTGAGTATGCAGGAAAGCCCCTGAATTGGCATTTTAAAAATTCTGATAACGGCCCTCCCTGCTGGCACAGTGGGTTGGAGCGCTGCACTGCGAAGCTAAGCCAAGCCATGGCCGCTTCGGTGCGAGTTTGATCCCTGCCCTGGAGCTGACCCACATGGTGCAGCAGCCCTCTCCTGTCTCGCCTGCTGCTCCCCTCAGCAGTGTGTTTCAGTACATCTGCCTATTCTGGCCCCCACTGTGTCTGGTGGATCCTCTCGCTGCACCTGCACCTCTATTCTGTCCCCCATTTCTGTATGCATAAATAAATAAAATCTTAAAAAATTATATATATATGTATATATAATGTATGTGTATGTATGTGTGTGTGTGTGTGTGTATAAACATATATGTAAGTTCTGGTAACTACTACTTGAATTTGAGAGCCACTCTCCACACAGGCTGAGTTTGAAGACAGACGAATAGGGACCCTGAGCCGCGCAGAGGCCCAGGGCACCCTGCTGCAGCCCCCCCGCCCCTTCTTACTCACCCCCCTGCCCAGGCTCAGCCTCTCTCCTGAAGTCTCACACGATAATCACGCTTATGTTCCAGAAAAACCCCTTAACCCTCTGTATTTGTCAGTGATCAAAACTGGACCTAAACCACTGCTCCATGGAAGGGCAGCAGCTGTCATTTCCATCCATCTGCAGCTTCTCTGCAGAGCAGAGCAGGGCCTGGGGGTCTGAACAACAGACGCAGACACTGGCACCCACCCGACGAAGCAGTCGGGCTGACGCAAGACCTGGGTCTTGGACACAGCCTCAGCCTCGCTGGTCTTCCTGGCCTGGGGACCTTGAGAAGCCTGCAGTGTTGGTAAGAAAACGAACTTGTGCCCGAGGAAGGGTTGCTGTGCCTTCATGCCCCACCCCAGTGCTTCCGGGCACCGGGATGTGCCCGTCCATTAAGAATCTCTCAGTGCAAGTCAGGCACGGGCAACATCAACCCTTCCCCACACGGATGCTGGCCAGACTTGCCCGAGGGGAAGATGCTGCAGCTGTGGCTAAGAAGGGAGTGAGGAGAGGGATCTTCACTGAATTCTGCTGCTAGGTTCAGCCAGGAGCAGAGCTGGTCATATTGTCAGCAAGGGAGGAGAGAAGAACACCTGTCGCAGGTGTGCTAGGAACTGGGAGTTTATTGTTGTAATTGAAAAAATGTAAGCTGAAAAGGTTTGGAAACCACTTTCTTTCGGTCCGTTCCCCACTCTTGAGAAATGGGCTGGCGGGAGGGAACCAGCAGGGATTTATTTAGAAGCCAAGAGGTCTAAGTAGAGATGGACGCCGTCACTAGGTGCGTGTCCTTGAGTAAGTCGCCTGGACGCCATACCTGCCCCGCGGAGTGTTGTCAGAATTGGACAGGATGTACCTGACATGTAACAGCATCACAAACCAGGGGTTTCCTGACCACCCACCCGCAAGCACAGCACAGATCACACAACGAACCACGTTATTATTTTCTTCTCTTTTAAATCAACATGCATTTACTGAGCTTTCTCCTAAATGCAGGCAATCTGCTTAGGTTTTGGGGACGTAATGATGAGACCGATACAATCTCTGTCCTTTAAGAGTATTCAGCCCTTAAAAATGATTAAGCATATCAAGAAAACTACCCTGTGTTTACACTTCAAGCATCAGAAGAAATCACATCTTTTCGAAGCAAATATTTTTCATTCTATGACAAGCTAGACGGCAAAGACGCGCTGCCTGGACCCAGGAAGGGCCGTGGGCAGTGACCGCGCAGGGAAATGGGTGAGCTGCATGTATGATGAGAACCCACGAGCTCATTATCTCTATCTCTTTCTTTTTTTATGGTGCCTTTCCTCTCTGGGTTTGGGCAACACTTTTTTTCAGGTGCTAATCCTTAGGATTTATCCCTTCCCCTTTCATGTAAAAATATCTTCTCATCGCTGTAACCCATCCCAAAGGAGTTTGCCTCTCTGAATATTAATCAGGAATCCCCAAAGCCATTTTTCTTGCAGTGGCGGCTGGGCTCACATGCAAACGAGTCTTCTCGCTGCTGCTGGTTGCTGCGGGCTGTTTGGGGCTGCGGGCTGCAGGGGGCAGAACTGACTCAGGCAACCGCCTGCCTCGTCTGGCACGAAGCCAGCGGGTCTTGGCGATAGCAGAGGCCTGGAGCTTTATGAAATGAGATGGAGAAGAAGGCCGGGGAGTGGGCTCTGTGGCCACAAGCCCAGTCCTCTGGAGCCAGGACTCCTATGCTCCTGGAGGTCTCAGATCTCCTTGAGATTCTGGCGAAGGCTCAGCAGCCTGTCTCTGAGATTTCTGTACCTGAAGAAATGCCTGAAGCTTAGCGAGCTTCTCCCCCTCAACCCCCCACCTCATACACATACACATTAATTACGGGAAGGGAGACACCTGGCTCTACTAAGCAGGAACCAGGCTCAGTATACATGCTTTTCCCTCACTCTACATTCTCTCTCAACCTCAAACCCATTTATAGAACCAAGCATAATTACACAGGGTCCTTTGATGTTGAGGAACAATTTCATCTGCAGAGTTGGGTCTGCTACATACAAAGATCCCAGTGCACTAGTTTCTGCTGCTAGCAAAGGCCACGGGCAGCGTGTCTGTGACATCGGCAGCCACTGCGTGCAGGGAGTTTGGTCTGCCCCTGCACTGGTTGGTGTTGGGAGTACTGGGAGGAATTCTAGGACATAGGGATAGGGCCGGATGTAGCAAGGGTTGAGACCACTCTAATAGGGCACATAGTCCCTGCCAGGCCCAATGGGTTTGGCAAAGAGATGAATAAGGATCCCGAAGGAAGTCATCGCCCACCCTGGCAAGGCTCGCAGGATACACTTTGCAGATTTAATGAGAGCTGTAGCTGTGTTCTCCTTGTGCTTCAAATTCATTTCTGGGGTTCTGGCTCCAGCAATGACTTTGGTGTGGAACCAAAACCTGTAGCCACAACAGTGACTTGCTGAGCAAGTAGATGGGTGAGTGGAAGGATGGATGGGCAGGTGGGCGGACAGCGGATGGGTGAGTGGATGGATAATCGATAGTTTGGTCAGATCTACACAAGAAGTCATTGGCTAATTGTGAACAAATAGGATTTGGTCCTGTAGGCTTAGAGGTGATGAGTTTGTCCATTTGAAGTAACTGATTGCCTCCTCTGTGTAAAAAACGCATCTAAAAATGCACGAGTGAAAACCCAATGTCCTGGCCAGGCAGAAAATGGTAGTTTTTAATGCCAGGACTCCTGACTTATCAAGGTAGCAAAGGGTCTAACAAATGTAAACAGCATGGTGTTCTGCTTTGTTTTCATTCTCCTGTAGACATTTATTCTCCTTAGCTACCCACTCACACCCAGTCTTCTTGTTCGTCTCTCTGTCCAAACCCAGGATCAGGTGGTGCATCTCAGAGACTCTGGAACCACAAAAAAGCTAATGCCTTGGGGTGGAACTTGGCTAACTCTCAACTTCAGCCTGGACTATTGCCAACATTTTAGATCAGCCTTTTCTAATGCTGTTCTCTGAACAAACACCTACTCTTTGTTGAAGT